GTAAAGATTTACACCCTCGGAAACCCTGTACAGGGTCGCTATGGGTCGGAACCGACTCGATGGCACTTAACAACAACAACAACATTGGACACAAGTATAACCCTGGAGGTACTGTAGGATAAGCACTAGATTACTAATCACAAGATTGTCAGTTCAAACCCAGCACTCACTGCAGAGGAAAGATGAGGCTTTCTGAGTCCCATAAGGATTTGTCTCTAAAATCTTATACAAAGGATCTATAGGTTGGAATCAACTGGATTAAAGTGGGTTTGGGTTTTCTTGGTTATTGGATATAACTAGTTAAGGTTCTAAATCTGGGTATTAGCGTTTCCTTCAAGAAAGCATGTCTCTCTCACACACACATTTATGTTTTCTCAGACTACAACTAGAGAAAGGTCTAGTGTTTAATTAAATTATTTTATATAATTATTTGGTTTTAAATATATATATCATATGGATATCAAGTTTAAAAAATATAATAGTATCTGCTTAATATTAAGAGAAGATTGAACATATTAGAATTGATCCTTAATTATTGAAAAATGAGTGGTCAGGAATGAAGGGTCATTTAAAATCATTTACATTGTGCTGGAGATGTGCTTAATTGCTTGCTGGTAGTATTCTTAAATATTCAATAAACAACTTTTATTGACTGATAGAAAACTATTCATTGCATAATCTCCATAATATATCTACAGAGGTCTTGAAAATTCTGTAGAACAAGAAAAATGTAATTCCTTTAGGTATATAAACCTAAATAAAAAACAAATTACTCTTTTAAAATTCTAATATACCATCTAAATGGTAAAATTTTTCCCTTATGTATGTTGCTATTCCTACACTTAAAAAAAAAAAAAGTTAAGCATATATAGTATTGAATACAGAAAAATTCACACATTTAATTAAGCTTGTTAAGTTAATAATTAATCATACCTGAGTTAGTTCATTAATATCTACAAGTCCATTGCTGTCAGCATCAAAATATTTAAACATTTGGTCCACCAAAATCTTCTTCCGAGATACTTCATCACGATTAGGATTTTCATTTTCTTGTGTAATATATTTCTGATTTTGTAAATCTAAAAGCATGTTTTTTATCTTGTTATATTCAGATGTCTTGCAATTTTCTCCTGTAACAAAGAATAAAAAATATTTTCATAGGGAAATAATTAATGCAAATAATATATTTAAAAATGGATATATTATGCAAAATATACTTTGTACATAATTTTTGAGGTTTTTTTTTTCATACTTTAGAACTTGTAGAAGGGAAAAAAGAATGGATTAATTTGAAGATACATAGAAAATACTGATTTTTATCAAAACCAATAAAAACATATTCACTATGTTTTCTAAATAAGCCAAAGGCATTGGGACTAAAAAGTGCCAGAGAAAAAAATGACAGCTTTTACTGTGTCCAATGTCTAAATACATACTATTAGTTCTAATTCTCACGATACATCCAAGTATTGATACCTTTTGAGGTACAGAAAAGGAGGTGCAGTGAAATGAGATGAATTGCCCAAGACCAAGTGCTACATTATACTAGATTTTGCAGTTAAAATCATTTATACCTGGCTCCAAAATATCACAAAATAAATGATGTTTTAGGCAGTTGGATTTATTTTGAAGAAATTAATATCTAAAGACTTTTTCTTCTCATTGTTGTTGTTAATTCCAGTGAAGTTATTTCCGACTCATAGTAACCCTGTATATGAGTTTCCAAGGAACAAATCGTGAGTTTGAACTGTCAACTTTTTGGTTCAAAATGACCTTGTGTTTGAGTGCTTATCCTATAGCACTACACTATTAAACTTCTTCCATGTCTTACTGCTCTGCTCTTCATTTAGTTCTCCATTAGAGTACTTTTTGTATAACATAATTCATATATTCATTCTCTTTTTTAAAGTTTTAATTTTACAAAGTCTACCTCAAAACTAAAGTAGAAACTCATTGAAGGAACAAGGCCTTACAGAGTATTAGTATCCCCCATATAGTAATAGTGGTTACGAATCAGGCTGTGAACCTTAAGGTCAGCAGTTTGAAACTACCAGCTGCTGTTCCGTGGGAGAAAGATGAGGCTTTCTGCTCCTGTAAAGATTTCCAGTTTTGGAAACCCTGTACAGGGTCACTATGAGTCAGAACCAATTCCACAGCACATAACCACCACCACCATATAGTAACTGTAGTTAAAAAAAAAAAAAAAATGACTTAATGCCTCAAAAGTAGCTACAAAGCTCTTATAATTGCACATAATTATTTTACATATAGACTCATGATGCTTCCTTTATTAACAGTGCATTGAAACGAAATTTACATTGCTGATGGCAAATATGATATAAAGTTATTATAAAAAATACAGTATAAAATATAATTCACACATAAGATAGTAGGTGTTATATTACTGTAAATCTTTTACAACATCGTTTTAAGAAAAAACTTTTTATAATTGTGTCCAATTTTTACAATTAGGCTTTGGTAGCATCTACAATTTTAAAGGAAGATTTCTAAAGATTTTCAAATATATGTCTGAGAAGCAGGGGGGTTGAAAAACAATGTTTGAAGTCTCATTCTCTTTCAAGACAGGATGGAAAACAATAGCTTCTAGAGAGATGAGAGAGTATCTTATTGTTCAAAGGCAGTGCAGAGACTACTGTTGTTCAGCAATTTTAGTGTTTAGCAATCTTGTCAAGAAGTTCTTCTTTATGCCAAAACGTAAACTTTCTGCTGCAGTTGAAGACAATTTTGTATTATTCTGTTCTCAGTAAAGAATAATAATGTGTTTTCATAATAGCAAAGAACTCATGGACAAAAAAGAAGTAATCAAATTGAAAGCCAGAGCTAGCAATTTTAGTGTCTGGGAAAGCCACACAAAAGGAGCCTTTCTACTCTGTGTGTGTGTCTGTTTGTGTGCAAGCATCAGACAAGAGAAAAATGTATAATGAAAAAGAGGAAGACTGATATTAGAAGACTTTGATGGTCTTTCTTATGACTTTGCTACATGACCTCGATCTGTATGTACATCTAGTTACAGCCAGGAGGTATTGAGAATATTGATGAAAGGCAGATCAAAAATTAAAATATGACAACCTTTTAACTAATATTTAAATTGTATAGGACAGAATCATGGGTATCACAGTGTAAATATGGCTGGATTATGTCTGTTGGTTATCATAACGCTCACACTTTCATTCCAAAAATTGTTTTAAATTTCTTCTGAAATCCAGACATTTGGCTATTTTTTTACAATACAAAGAAGACAACAAAAAAAAGTAATATAACAATTGCCATTAAAGAATTCACATTTTGGGGTTATGGGCAACAAAAAGTTAAAACAATTTTTTAAATCTATATAACAGATGTTTTTAGTAATAAATTGGTACATGTGTTATCAATAACTGATTACATGAAATGAAGGCTCTCTATATTCCCGAAGTAGTACATGTATGCTGTGAATTGGAATATGCCCTATTGAATACACAGATTTCAAGTTTGGAGGACAAATTGTAAATGTAGTGTAATGTAAACATCTTATACAATACAATCTAACATCATGTAATCAAATCATCATTTGAAAGCATGCCAGTATAGGGTGAATTCTAGCCCTAATTACTTCTGAGATATGATGCTGTAACACAAGGACTGGATTTTTAATTTCAAGATCAGCAGCTCAAACCCATGAGCTGTTCCTTGGAAACCCTATACTATGCCGCTATGAATTGGATTCCACACTATGACACTTATAGCAATAACAATAACAATTACACAAAGATCAGCATAAACCCAGAAAAACACACAGACACAGAAAGAAGACAGAAATAATGCAAAGATTCTATACAAGCCATGTAACCAAGGAATGTCTGAGACTACCTAAAAGGAAGAAATCAACACTGTCAAGAACTTGATTTGGATTTTTACTCTGTAGAACTGTGAGAAAATAAAGTTCTGCTCTTTTAAGCTCCCCACATAGTATTTCTGTAAGTTACACCACTAAGTAACTAAGACAACACTTAAATATACATCTTCACAACAGTACACAAACACAAGAATATAATTGTTAGCATTTTACACAAAAGATTTCTGGCACAGAGATAAATGAATGTATATGAAGTCTCAGAGCTAAAAACGGTAAGATTTATTTCTATACATTATCAATCTCTCTCTACCCATTAAACTTCATTTTTGAAAATATGAAATATTTGCTACCCTTTGAATAACTATTAGTTATGAACTAGGTTTCATGGTTACTAAAGAAGAATATATATTTAGAAATT